AACTTAAGCCTGTATTTCCATCTGTAAAACTAGTTTATGATCTTTATTATGACGAAGGTGCTCCCTCTACTTCTGATATTCAATGTCTGCTTGTTCCTCTGCCAAAGCCTGCCCAACAATCTTAATCTCTCAAAGAAAGGATTAACATCACATTTATTGATGTATCTTTCATTATCGCGGACATATACTAGGTACTTCATTAAAATAATCTCTTGGATTAATCTCTCTCTCTTTTTTAAAGATCATTTTCCTAGGGGCTCATGCAACTCTTATCACCATCCATACATCCATCCATTGTGTCAAGCACATTAGTGCCATCATCATTCTCAAAATATTTGCTTTCTACTTGAGCCCTTGGTTTCAGCTCCTCATCTCTCTTTAACCAATTTCATCTACCTCTTCTATCAATGAAAGTTCTTGTATCTCAATTTCTTTCTTTAATGTTGCTGCTTTTCTTGGTCCTCTGTCATTTTATAAAATATATTTTCTCAGTGTCTGCTTTTCTTCTTACAGTCCCTTATTCTTTTTCCCCTTAGGTTTTTTAATGTCGTTTTCTAGATCATTTTTCTTTTTTAATGATTTTCTGGTAAACTTTGGTAATACCCATTTATATTTGTTTCTAGTAGTTCCTTCATTGCCTTTTCCCCATTTTTTCTCTTTATGAACCTGTGTTAACTCTAACATCAATTATATTTTAAGAAAATAACACTTCCCGAAACAAAACTACTCACAAAAGCACAGCTCTAGGTGTTCCTTATAAAAATTTAAAAAAAACAAGTTTAGGAAAAAAAGAATTCTGAAGGCCTGAATCCATCTTTCCCCAGGTTAATAGATAGACGTATACCCACCAGTTCTCATGAAGGTTACTTATATGTCAGTCAAATCAAGTCAATAAATGCCCATGGCATGTTGTTAGGAGAGAGTGATGGTAGAAAGTAAGACTGTCAAGAGTTCTGAGCTGATGAGGCAGAGGAACTGAATCACGTAGCCCAGTTAAGTCGTTTCAGTTGCAAGTAGGCAATGCCAGTCAATCTGGCTGGAACACACTCACCGCCCATCCAGTTGGTTCTGACTCACAGCGACTCTCTAGGACTGAGTGGAGCTGCCCCCCTGCGGGTTTCCAAGACTGTAATAGTCACAGCACAAAAAACCTGACATTCTTTCAGCCCAACCACGTGCCCTTATACAGCCTTCATTTTAGTGGAGGCAGGCCTTTCCCCATAAACTCTGAAGGTCCGAGGACTAAACGCCTCCATGTTCATGTGCAACAGAAAAAGGCAGTCTCAGGAAGAGCCCGGAGATTAGGTTAGGAGAAAATGCACTGTCATCAAGTACATTCTGGCTCACAGCAATCCTATAAGGCAGAGTAGAAAGCCTCACCTTTGGCCCAGGAGCTGCTGGAGGTTTTGAACTGCTGACCTTGTGGTTAGCAGCCCATTACATAATCCACTAATCCACCAGTGCTCCTGTGACAGGCAGAGATTTGCTAATCATAGTCCAATACCTTATTGGAACTACATGGTTTCTAGAAGGAAGGTGCAATCAGCAAATATTCCAGGCAAGGGGCAAAGTAAATATAGATGGGGCAAAAGAAAAATGATAATTTCATCAGTGAATGCTCTTTTCCCCTTTGTTATTTTGATAATTTTTAAATTACTAATAAAAATGTATTTTATTTCATGAAAAGGGAGCACTTCTGCATTTTTCAAATAATCAATTCATTTCTAGGGTATTTCTGAGAATGCAGACCTCAACACAGTTATACATTGTTAGGACTACTAATTTAAATTTTTTATTGTTCAACAATGAAAATATACAAGTAACAATAAGATGGAACCACATCAAATGACTAGTTGACAGAATAATAATGTTCCTGGAGGAAAGAAGTA